AACTCCACACTAAAATAATAGGATTTATTTTCGATTACAATGTTATAGCTATTTGACTTAAAGTTAACGAGTATGGTTTTAATGAAGGTGATTTCAATGACCGTTTTGGGCGATCATTTTTTTATTTTATTATGCCGCAATGGCAGGCATAAATATCCGGTAAAAACGGCATAAAATAGAATTTTTGGGCCTTTTTCCATTACATTTTAGTACGCGAATCGCGAACGCCGTTTATGGGAGCAGTCTGTAATCATGCGATGGAATTATATTAAATGCCTATATAATTTCATCAATTTTTAAGTCTTCTATAAGTTATTGAAACATACAATGATCTTCTCGAAGTCTTGCTTAGGATCAGTAATTAATGCTTCAACCTCACACAGTAAGATACATTCTATAGTTGAGAATAAAGTTTATAGGCAGTAGATTCTCAGAAATATGAATGCGATAAAGTGAATAAAGTAAATCGTTGCCAGTTTTTCATGATAGATATTTTAGCAGTTTGTATTTTAATCATTAACGTGCAGCAAAAAAATTATAGATTAATGATCGTGTTGTATTCGTTAAGGTATCTGATTAAATGTATTTAATAACACCAATGTGTACATAATATTATATTTGTATACGTTTTCTTCTTCTTCCTTCTTGTATGTAGGCTTAAGAGCCTGTTTCTTCTTCAACATTAGCCTTCTAAATTGTTTAAATTATCGCAGCATTTTTTTTCTTGGTCTGCCAATACTTCTTCGTCCATTTGGTGACTTATCTTGTGCTATTCGTACTATTCTACCCTCTAATATTATACTAAGGTGTTCGTTCCACTAGTGTTTCCGTTTTGTCACTGATCCAGTTATGTCTCGTATACTCTTCTTATGTACTCGCTTCTCTCCCTATTCAACATACTTTTCCTGATATTCGTCGGAGTATTTTCATCTCTGTTGTTTCTAGTAGTCGTCTCGTTTTAGATGTCCGCCGTGTACATATGTTAATATAGGTCTGATTGCTGCTTTATAGATTATTGTTTTTGTGTCTTGTTTTAGGTGTTTGTTCTTCTAGATTTAGTCATTAAGAGTCGCCGCTTTACTTGCTTTTAAGCTTTGTTGTCGTACTTTTTCTTCAACATCTCCGTTATTTTTAGATATCTATTCCTAGATATCTAAACCTTGCTTTTTGATTTATTTTTTTTTATTTATAAATTACAGCCGCATCCACCATAATGGTTATTAGCGGCGGCTACAAAATTACAAAATTAGAGTTTATAAAATAGTCCTATAGATTTTAAGAACTTTACAATATTACTAGCTGAGAAATTAGTGCCTAATAAATTACTTAAATTCTTAGGTATGTTAAATGTAACTCGAAAATTGGCAAATCTATGGCATTCAATTAATAAATGGTTAATGGTTAATTGTACATTACATGTTTCGCAAATAGGTGGATCACTTTTGGTAAATAAGTATGAGTGAGTAGTCTCGTTTGTCCAATTCCTAATCTCGTTATCACCAATTGTTCTCTTCTGTTTCTTGTTGAGGGTTTCCAAGCTGCAACGTCATTTTTAATTTGCTTCAGTGATGTTTGAGAAGATTGCCATTCGTTTTTCCACTTGCACAAAACTCGGCTTTTATATCATTCGCGGTATTTCGATACTCGGCTTTTTCTATATTGGCACATTTAGCAATTTCACTCGCGCACTGGTCCGCACTTTCGTTGCCAGCAATGCCAATGTGGGATGGAATCCATATAAATCTGATACTCCTAGAATTTTCTTGAGCTTGCATAAGTTCTAGTTTTATCAGTTTCTTAAGGGGACCTTTAGGATAGATCTGTTTAAGGGTTTGAAGGGCGCTTAGTGAGTCACTTAAGATAACAGAGTTAGGAATTTTATTAGAATTTATATGTATGATAGCTTTAAACACTGCATAGAGTTCAGCGGAGAAAATCGAAAAGAAGGTTGGGAGACGAAATTGATATGTATCGTTTGGAGTAACGAATGCAGCATCTACTCGTTTATCACACTTAGATGCATCTGTAAATATTTTATAGCAATGTTCGTAACGATGACGGAGAATTAGATCTAGATTGGGAAGTCGAAGGAAAAATCCATCTATATTCCATTGCAGTAGTTTAGTGAATTATATTATATAAGAAAAAATATGAATTTACGGGTTATCCTGAGATGACTCGCCCTCGGATTCAGAGATGTCGTTACGAAAGTGTTGGAGGATTTTCTTTTTTAAGGAGGTGATATGACGTTTGGTTGATCTATCTTTTAATTGTGGATGAACTTTAGTTAGCATACGAACTAATCCCACAAGGTCAGAAGAAAACTCTTGAGTTATGGTAGAAGGATCCTGCACGCCGCTAGCGTTGCTTAGAAGTAGATTTAATTGGTCAAAATTGAGGACAAATGTGGGTAGATGATTTTGGATAAAATCTTTGGCAGGCTCAAGGTTATATGACTTTGTTGATTTTATGCATGTATGCTCCTCATTGCTTTCTCCTCTTTCTTTCTAGGTTTGGATGTAGGTACAGCAAATGATTTTTCTGTTGTTTCAGAAGTTGGTTCTGGAGACGTAAGAACATCATTGATACTACGTTTCGGCTGGAGATCGATATTAATTACTTTGTAGCTTTCCATGGTGTTAACTTCTTCTTGACCATTAGCAATGTTAGGATTGCTCAGATTGTTTGCTAATTTTCCTTGGACGGACATTTGTTCGTTTGATATGGATGTTGCTGCAGCTTGAGGCATGATGTCAGGGGAGGAAGAAGTAGTATTGCCTGTTATTAGAATCAATTAAGTTTGTTGTTGATTCTAGTTTATCAGGACAGTTGGTGGCGATATGACCAGACTTTTTGCAGTTATAACAGGCCATAGTTTCTTGAGATAAGAATATTCGATATGTTGTATTATCGAATATTATTAGGTTACCCAAAGGAATTAAGTAATCTTGCAGTCGCGTATTTTCTAAAGCGCTGAAGACAATTGCTTGATGTTTTGAGGGAAATTGTCCAGAAGCTGCTGATGAATAGGTTTTATTGGTATTTGTCTGTGATTGCAATATATGTGGTGTGTTAGAGAGACTCTGAATATTAGGTTCCATTTTTGATTTTAACACGGGACATGTGTTTAAAAATAATACGGACCTGACTAGTAATCAAACAGGTAATAAAACTGGAATAATATTTTTTGAGTCGTATCTTATTGATAATTGTTAAATTACAAATCAACAAAAAACTGGTTGATCACGTTATATTAATGAAAACTAATATGATGTGTTCACTTACTGGTATTTCATGTAATTGTCACTTAACGATTTATAAATAAACTGTTATAATTACTGCATAAAATTTGCAAATTTGTTGAGACCAAAACAAACACGCCTTTCGGTATCTCATTCAGGGCCGAACTCCTTCTTGATTTATTATTTTTCCATCAATTTCGATTTTACATCGTAGTGGGTATTTAGATGTCATACATTTGGTTTTCTCTGCTGATGTTATTATATTATTTTTATTGGCTGTTGTATTGAAAATATTTGTAATCTTTGGAGCTCGTCTTCTGTCTCGGCAATTAATGCGGCGTCGTCTGCGTAACATAATATTTGGATTTCTTTATTCACCGTTCTGTAACAGTGACTTTTACGTACTGCTTGTATTATTTCGTCCAATATTATATTAAAGAGAAGTGGGAGTAACGAGTCACCCTGTCTGACTCCCCTTTATACTGGTATATACTGTGTTAGTTTTCCATTTATCTTTGCCTCTATTCGAAGTGTTACTGTGATAACTGTAGATTCGAAGATACTGTGTTAGAAGTTTGTTGGTGATTTCATCTGGTCCTGGCGAATTCCTATTTTTGATTGAATTTATGTCCATCTCTACTTCCTGAAAACTGATTTCTATTTCGTATCTTAATTTAGTTACGTTATTGTGTTGATTATTAATTTCTTTTCCTTTAAACAGTTCCGTCAGGTATCTTTCCTATTCGTTTGCTGGTATGTTATTGTATTAATTTCTTTTCCTTTAAACAGTTCCCTCAGGTATCTTTTCTATTCGTTTGCTGGTATGTTATTGTATTTCTTCAATTCTGTCATTTCTTTCCGTTGGTTTTTTATAAATCTCCATATTTGGAGATTTTCCAACGCTTTCCATCCTTTTTATAAACGGTTTCTAGTGTTAATTTTTTGTTTTTCTTACCAACTGCTTTGCTTCATTTCGTATTCTTGTATAGGTGTCTTGGTATTCTGGAGTATTTAACGTTTTGTACTTTGTATAGGTCTCTCGTTTTTCTAGATTTATATACAATATATAAAGAAAACCTCAAAAAGTGGGACAATATTCTTGTAAAAGTCATACATTAGAACGTCGCGTTCTGAGGACCAGTGGAAAGGAATATTAGATCAACATTGTCATAAGACAGAGAGAGATAAATCGCTCATTAATTTCGTAGCTTAGGACTCAGTAGCCTATCATTCACACTGTTGCATTGAATTTTAAAAATTAATCTTAATATATTATATATTATGATATAAGACTCATTTAACTTTTCAAAAATAGAAAAGTATATTGGAGTTAAACAAATCGTAGTTTAGTTCGAAAAATATGTTAACAAAATAATCAAAAAAAATATTTTAAAAATTTTCTTTATAAAAAGTATATTAATAAAAAAAACGCTATCGGGCTTTATCACAGAACGTTTTTGGAATAACTATTCTATCACCAGTACTATCTGGATGTGCATGCTTAAAGCCACTAAATATGTGGGTAAAAAATTATGATGTTTAGGTTATAAAAGGAATTGATCACATGGCGACATAGGACTACACTGGGGCTGAGCAAATTTTTCGCCGACAGCCACTCATAACTATAGTGACTTTTTAGACAATTAATTTTATTAGTAATTTTGCTAGTTATCACTGAAGGAGAAAATCATAAGAAAAATATTAAATTAAGTTTTAAAACGTAAACATTTCTATGATAAATTAAACTTAAAAACTTACCCAACATCTTGACGACATGTTTTGTGGCTTGAGCACTTCTCGCGAAGTTCTTCCTACCCTCTTCCTCTCCTTGTTCAACAACTTCACCGACAGTTCCTCCTCGGTTCATTACTATGACCTGCGTGGAAGGATGCATGTAGGTTACTACAGGTTTGTAGACCCGATGCCTCATCTTGACGCTGTTTCCTCTAGAAGGTCCCACGGTGGATTTCCGAAGCTGCAACCCGATGAAAATGTAGAGTATTGTAATTAGGGACATTGGGGCTACGAAGAATACGAAAAAGGATATTTCGAAAGCGTGTGGAATGACTTGACGCTTGACGTTGCAGACGCAGTAATCTTCACGGACATAACCTGTAAAAAATTGACATAACTTGTAAAATATAGTTTATAAGCATTTTTTTCTATTCAGAAAATCTATCTCGTGACAGTTGGAAAGTTATAAATTATTACTTATTTCAATAATTACATGATTTCAGTAGCTAAACTTATAAGAAGTTCTTTTAATTTCACAAATGAAAATGTAGTTATAGATTTTTTTAAAGATGTACACTCTCCTTGCCACTCTTTATTTTTATTGCCTGTTAGTGATACTGAAAAATTCACACTGTTCGGATTTTTATTTCTTAAGCAAAAAATAATTATACTTGCCTAATTGACAAATTAATTATCAACATCCACAAGGAAAACAATTCCTGTAGCTGGCTGTATACCACGTATCACAAAAAAAGAGGTTAGTCTATGTAAGTGGGTATATTTATTTAAAAACCCTTAAAAGGGCTACATCAAAAAAATAAACGTTTTCGGACTAAACAGTCCATCATCAGGTTTAAAATCGCTAGGTTAAAATGCCTGAGCCACCAAAAATACATGGGTAAAAACCCTTTAAATTACATATAGTTATAAAAGATTATACATCTTGTTAAAAAACTGTGATGTTCAGTATTAAATTACATATGACTTCAGGTAATATACAATTTAGGTCCCATATAATCAGGAATTTTTACAATGTATGTTACCTGAAGTCATATTTAATTTAATACTGAACATCACAGTTTTTTAACAACAAGATGTATAATCTTTTATAACTATATGTAATTTAAAGGGTTTTTACCCATGTATTTTTGGTGGCTCAGGCCTTTTAACCTAGCGATTTTAAACCTGATAATGGACTGGTTAGTCCGAAAACGGTTGTTTTTTTATGTAGGCCTTTTAAGGGTTTTTAAATAAATATACCCACTTACGAAGACTAACCTCTCTTTTTTAAATTAATTATACTTTATAATCATTTTTTTACGATTTACCCAGTTGTATTAAAAATAACAGAAGTGCTACCATAGTTCAAATAGGGACCTTTAGATAAAATTGTAATTTCTCGTCCCACTTCAATCATTTCTATTTTCGGCAAAATTTTTGAAAGTATTTTAAATGTTCGTTTGATAGAATATCTAGAAAAATACAAAATACTTTACTTTAATCACCATGGCTTTAGAAAAAAGTGTAACACTACACTAGCTATACAGAAAATTGTAAAAAATATAGTTAATGGCTTGGAGGAAGGTCATTTGTGTCTTTTGTGTGACTTACCCATAGCTTATGACTGTGTTTTGCATGAAGTACTGTTGGAAAAAATGCATAAATACGTTATTAGGGGAAACAATCTTAACCTAATTAAAACATACTTAACCTATCAAAGCCTGAATTAATTGCTTTGTTAAACTAGGTCAAAATACTTTAAAAATATAATAAGATTTACTCTTAACGAAATATGGCAAGCATCCAATATTGCATTTCACACAAGTACCCACGAATTTTGCATTGCAGCATCAATCAACCATGTAAGTATAGACCAATACCGTTTCTTACTACGAATACTTGTAAGGTATCTTGTTAAATCCTCATCCATTCTTTTAGTGCCTTCCAGAAACTTGTTTTACATTCCAACAAAATATGCGAGAAGAACTTGGACAACTTTTTTTTAGAATGTGAAATACGTTTTACTTATTGAATTGGATGCACACATATGAAGTTGATGCTATTGGTACGACGGAGGTATCGATCCATCTCTTCTTCTTCTTTGTCAACATTTTCCATCCACTCCTGAATATAGGTCTCTCCCAATTGCTTCCAAATTTCTCTATCTTGCGCAATCTAATCCACTGTTTGCCTTCCACTGCTCTTATGCCATCTACCCATCTTTTTTGAGGTCTACCCATGCTTCTTGTTGTCGTCCTTGGTCTCCATTCTAGAATTCTCCGTGTCCACCTATTGTCATTATATCGGGCTACGTGACATGCCCAGCGCCATTTCATTTTTGTAATGTCTTCCACAATATCCCTAATCTTCGTTCTACGTCTTATCTCGGTGTTTCTAATCTTGTCTCTTAGTGATATTCCAAGCAAGATTCGTTCCATTGCTCTTTGCGTTGTTTCTAATTTTTTGGCAGATTTTTTGGTAAGTGCTACTGTCTCCAAGCCGTAGGTACAAACTGGTAGTATGCATGTGTTATACACCTTTTTCTTTAAGTTTATAGGAATGGAGGTGTTTTTTAAGATATGTGCTAGTTTGCCGAAAGCGTCCCAAGCCAGTTGTGTTCTTCTTTTAATTTCAGCATCTTGATTTGGCCTCTCCAGTTTGATAACATGACCTAGATATACATAATGTTCCACATTTTCTATGGTATGATTTTGTATTGTTATATTTGTCTGGTCTTGGCTCAGTATTTTTGTTTTGCTGTAGTTCATTTTTAAGCCTACTGCTCCTGAAACTGCATTTAATTGTTGTAACATATCATTTAGTTCTTGGATGTTATCGACTATTAAAACTATGCTATCTGCGAATCTCAAGTGGTTAAAGTATGATCCATCGACGTTGATACCCTTATTGTTCCATTCCAGTTTCTTAAAAATATCTTCTAGAGCAAGGGTAAATAGTTTGGGAGAGATGGGTTCCTTGTCTTACTCCCGTTGTAGTCTTATGGGATTAGTTTTTGTGCTTTCGTCCAGCTTTATATGCATGGTGGCATTTTCATATATGTTTTTAATTATGTTAATGTATCTTTAATCTATGCGTGCATTTTCTAGAGATTTAATCACTGCCCATAATTCGATGGAATCGAATGCTTTATGGAAATCGACGAACGCCATATGAATTGGAACATTATGCTCGGTGCATTTTTCTATCAGTGTTCTTACAAGTGATCTATGGTATTAAAATGTTTTCTAAATCCAGCCTGCTCGATAGGTTGATAGAAATCGAGCTTATGTGTTAGGCGGTTGGTTATGATTTTAGTAAGTAATTTATATAGATGTGATAGCAAGGATATTGGTAGGTAATTCTCGATGTTTACTCTGTTTTCGTAGAAGGACTTAGAGGCCGAGGACGCTCACCTATCCGATGGTCAGATCAAGTACAGAAAACCACTGGAGAGACGTTTTCCGAGTCCATGAGAGCAGCCCAAAATCGCAAGAGATGGAGAGAATTGACAGCCCGCATTGTAGGAAATCACGATCCTCAGCAATGAGAAAACGACAAGAGAGAGAGCTCTGTTTTCTTTCTTGAATAGTAAAATGACCTCGGAGTTTTACCATTTTTGAGGAATCTTTCCTTCATCAATTACTTTATTAAATAAAACCTTTTATACCTCTTCCATTTTCGATCTATCTTGTTAACATAATACCATCTTCCTTGTCAATGTTTGGAACCAAATAACCTCGAGTTTGTTTACATAGTTTTTTTATCGACAAGTGGAACATCTTGTGGTATTCCTTGTTCTTGTGATACCATATATTTTTTTCTTTTAAATGCACCATTAAATTGAATCCAGTAAGAAGGTTATCTTCATAGATTTAATAAGGCAACTTTGTTGTGGCAAATGTCTAACATCCAGACAAGAGAAGCGGATGCCTTTCCAAATTTAAGTTGGTAAAAATCGTTTTAATTTGTACTTTTCCCTTGATAGACCTCAAATTTGACAAGGTAACCAGTTTCATCAGAGTTAAGGCACCATACTTTATAAGCGAATCTTATCGGTTTTCCCCTCATGAATTATTGACAATTATGGCGATCATAATATTTCATCATTTACTTTTTCTTAATTCATACTTTCAGCTGGTTTATAATATTTAAGAAAAAAACTCTGTAATTTTTGGATTACTGGTCTTAATTTCCACATTTCATCATTTAAATACATTTGCTTATTATCAGCACAGTGGATGAAAAGCATTATTTAAATAAACCTGTTTCGACGCACTGCACCCTTCACCATTTTATTGGAAATGTCTTCCGTTGTCCCAATAAAACCGTTTTCCAGGTAGACAGTTATATCCAGACACAAAAATAAATTTATAGGGCTCATAGTTTTAAACTGTGTCTTTTACTGTTTTTTAAACTGTTATCTACAAATCCACCATTATCCTCGTCAGCCGAATCTTCATCAGTCAAAACATTTGGATCAGGTGGACTTTTTGTCCATTTCTTTAGTTGTTACTTATTTATCATTTTAAGTCATTCTTTTTCGGACGTTATCATTATTTTCGTTCTTAATATCCTATGATCACTGTTTGTAATAGACAGGTTTAACACATTTTCGTCTTTAAATAATTCTTCTTTGTTTGTTAAAAAATAGTCGATTTCGTTCCTTGTATTTCCATCAGAGTTTTCCCATATCTATTTTCTGTGATTTTTTCTTTTAAAAAAGCTGTTCATTTGATAGAGATTATTTTCCAAAACGAAAATTAACATTTGTTTTCCTATATAATTTCTGCCGCTTTTCTTAGTGTCTATTTTAGCGTCGAAATAGCCACCTATTATTAAAAAGTAAAATAGATCTAGTAGTAGAAAGATCGTAAAATAACTTATTTATCTGGATGTCCTGCAGTAGAGGCATACACTTGAACGATATTTAAGATACTTCTTGTGCTTATTTTGATGTTTAAGATCATGAAAAATTGAATATTTTGCGCCACCCAGCGAAGCCGCGGCAGATATTTGAACAATATTATATTCCATATTCGCATCACGAGGATTTTTCAACGAATAGAAATTTTTGATAATATTTCACATTACATTACATCACTACACATGTTGAGATTTATTTTTGAATTTATATAGAAAAGCACCTAATTAAATACTTTATATCGCACTAATAATACAATAGTGTCGCAATTCAAAATGTTTCGAAGATGGGCGTAACACTATATTCACCCGCAAAATTCAATTCCCTATCAGTCAATAAAACTGTTGTTTTAATAGTGCAATAAATGAATAAGAGATGACACCATAAGACGTTATCCATGACTGACCGACTGTCGTCACCCCCCTCACAATATCGCGTTATCTTTAGTTGTGACCAATAGTGATCGGGAACGCACGTGTTGCTCTGCTCATCATTTCGAGTTTCCACGTTATTGCTGAATCAGGTATGTAATATCCATAGCTATATTTTGAGTTATTACATTCTTGTTGATTTGAGTCTAAACTTAACATTGTTGTTTTTCTAGTTATTACACTATTACTGATTTACACCAGAACTTTTTAAAATTAATATTTTTACTAACGACACTATTATTGGTTCAGTTCATTATTTTTGACATGCTACATTATATTTGAATCATCACTTTAAATCATTTTTGTTATTGTTTGTAAAACATTTATTAATCATTATCTATTTTTTGATCACCGGATAGTAATACCTCATTTAAAACGTGTAGCAGTGTTATTAAGAAAGCTTACCAACAACTTTATTTTATAAATTTAGAGTTATTACACTCTTTGTGACATTCTTGCATCAAGTACCTATACACTTAATATAATAATATTATTTGATTCATTTTTAGGTTCAATACCTGAGTCGTGGGAGATTACTTGTTGCTATGGCAACAATTGCTGAGATTGCGGGCAGGAAATCTCTTCACCGTCGTTATGGTCACTGGAGGCTACAAATAATGAATCTGGTGCCCAAATAGAAAACAGTCACCTTGCGAAAGTACAACCACCACCTATACTTTTACCATTTACGAATCATCAAGGACTTCAAAAAATTAACCTAACAGTGAAACAGCGAATGAGATTGGAAGTTGTACTCTGTAATATATAAAAAAAAATTATTCAGGCTACTCCTAGTAGAGAACTGGACTTTATATTTTATTCTGATAATTGTTACAGTCAGCAAAAAAATAAATACATCCTTACAACATATGCGCACGCAGTACAGAAAATGAATATCACAAGGATAACCCATAAATTTCTGATTCGCGGTCACTCTCAAAATGAAGGTGACAATGTGCACAGCGTCATAGTAAAGCAAGTAAAGCGTTTCGTAAAATCTAGTCCAGTGTATGTCGCACAACACTATATGACATTAATTCGGATGGCTAAAAAGACAGGCAAACCGTATAGCGTGACTGAAATGGATAATGAAACATTTTAATAAAACATCCATTTATTTTCTTTGATAAGAACTCTTACGAAGATGAAGATAACCAAAAAGTTATCGTACGTAGCTTACGACGAATTGAAAACCAGACTTCGTTATTTGCTAATGGTTTGACACGAGAATACACAACCAAGATGTTTTTAACTCAAAATAAGAAAAGGGTCTTAAAGGAATTGCTTGACAAAAATATAATACCCAGGAGTTATAGTAAACCTTACTATAAGAATTTGACCGATTAAAAACTAAAATTGTAATCAGTAATAATTGATTTTTAGACTGATTCAAAATAAGTTTAAATAATTTTTTTAGTATGTATGTCCTTTTAATTAACTACGAATTACTTAAATATGACCAGATTTTGTGTTGTATTTTGGAAGGTTTATTTTGTTAAATATATAAATTAAGTACGAACTGTTCAAGAATACTGTATTTTGATATCTGTATCTGAATTTGTTTGATAAGAATATAAAAGTAAAACAGTCTTGATTAATTCATTAATATCAAAAACAAAAATTCTCAGTGATTGTTAACATGTAATAAAATGTCTTTAGATCCAATGTTAACAAATACCAAGAAACACCTCCCAAAATTTTGTAAGTCCAAAAACTAACGTAAACCGCAGAAAAAAATATTAAATCAAATTGTAGTAACACAAAATATTTCATAAATAATGTTATAACTAAAAATAATACTTCATTTCGAACATTTTGCTTAGAGCAATACAGTGTTAACCCAAAATTTTTAAATAAATTCACTGTCAGTATTTTTATTTAACTAAGAGTACAAAGAAAGATCCTTTGATAGTAATTTAAAACATATTATGCATTAAGTTTTTTTCTTACCTGCATGATTAATGAATTTTTAGTTGATTCTAAAAAATCATCTTTTTTGAGTTACGACACTATTGTACTATTAGTGCGATATGTTCACATAATACTGTGATTTGTTTATTTTTTCCAAGGTTTTGCTTCTTTAAGATACTGTGGCATATTAACTTACCGTTAAATTTCTCGCAGACAATCCCCAACGCCATAGCTTGCGGCACAGCCAGACACATCGCCACTGCCCAGATGAAGATGATATACTTGATCGCTCTGTTTAGCTTCGAGAGAGTGTGCGACAGAAAAGGATGACAGATAGCCACGTATCGTTCCACTGTGAAAGCAGTGATTGTGAGAACTGTAGCGTTGGCCGATGTTTCTGCAGTAAATCCCTGAAATAAACAAAAATATATATAGAGTTTATAAAGTAAATTTTCAGTAGATGTCTCAAGGGCGAAATAAATTGTGTGTCCTCGAGAATAGCGAACTAAGATCGAACACAGATACGAGACATTGTCGTAGAGTTTAGGAAGGTTCTTAAACGATAAAAGTTAAAGTTAAGCTCTACAGAGTGTCCACATACACAAATTGTCCGTCAGACTTTAAAAAAATCCGTTTAAGATGTCCCCGAGCGTCGATTTTAATAAAAAAAAGTACCAAAAATACCATTTCGATGTATTTTTTATGCCGACTACAATATTTTGTGATAAAAAAAATTAATAAAATTCTACAACAATATGACCAAAATTTACAGACAGATCAAGCCTGGGAACAAATTAAATATGCTGTAGGAGAAGCTAGCGAGAAAATAGTTAAGTGCGACTCCAACAGAAATACAAACAAAGATTAGTTTGACGAAGAGTGTCAGGCGATAGCAAAGGAAAAGAAAAAGATCAGACAGCAAATATTAACAGATGATAGAGAGTGTAAAAAACAAGAATATAGAATAATTCGAGCTCTGTGTAGAAGGAAAAAGAGATACCACAATGAGTTGAAATTAAAAGAGATAGAAGAGAAGTTTAAAAACAAAGAGGTAAGGTCGTTCTATCATGAAGTTAAAAAGATGGGAAAATGTTACCAACGCCACTGTAGTTATATGAAAGTTAAAGACGGCAATTTAATTAGCGATCCGGCAGAAATAATGACGGAATGGAAAAAACATTTTGAAAAACTATTAAATGGTGAGGTGGACCACGAAGCAGTAGACAACTGGACGGTTGGAGAAGATGCGATAGTTGAAAGGCAGCCTACATAGGAGGAGGTGGTGACAGCAATACATGAAATGAAAAATAACAGAAATCCTGGTAAAAATGACATATGCATAGAAATGATCAAGTTTGATAGAAAACAACTACAAAGGAAAAATATATCACCTACTAGTGCAAGTATGGGAAAAGGAAATAATGCCATCGGAGTGGTATGAAGCCCGCATATGCCCTCTGCATAAAAAAGGAGACAAACTAAAGTGTGACAACTATAGAGGTATAGCCTTACTAGACACGGTATACAAAATCTTGCCAAGAATATTGAGAAATAAACTAAATTGCTACACGGAAAGAATCCTACATATCAGGCCGGCTTTAGAAAGGAGAGATCTACTGTAGACCAAATCTTCTCATCAAAGGAGATACAAACGACTTGTTATGAAGGTAAAGTTCCCCTGCATGTTTTGTTTGTGGATTTTAGACAAGCATATGATAGAGTCAATAGAGTCAAAATGTATCGAGCAATGGAACATTTGGGTATACCAAAGAAACTGATCCGGCTAGTAAAAATGACATTAAATAACTCTTAGTGTGAAATTGCTTGGCAGGGTCACATATCAGTTCAATTTACGGTTGCAAAAGGCTTGAGACAGGGAGATCTTTTATCCACTACATTATTCAACTTAGTGTTAGAAACTGTAATCAGAAAAAGCAACATGAAGGTGGAAGAAACAATCATGAAAAATGGGCACCAGTGCTTGGCATTTGCTGACGATTTAACGATCCTATCAAAAACCGAGAAAGAATTAAGAAGAGTTGTAAAGAAAATCATCAAAGAAGTACAAAAATTGGATTGGAACTAAATGAGGACAAAACCAAATATATGATCATGGGAGGGACAGAAGGGAAAAAAGAAGACTTTAGTGTGAGGTCTGTAAGTGAAAAAAGCTATAGTTTTAAAAGGGTGGACAAATTTGAATACTTGGGTGTAGTTTTCGATGAAAATGGAAAAGAAAAAATCCGAGCTGGAAGCCAGAATAGCAAAAGGGAATAAAAAATTAGGTAGTTTAAGAGCCCTATTGAACTCAAAATACGTTTTTAGACAAGGTAAACTCAGAATATATAAAACAGTAATTCCATCCACAGTAACATATGCCGGTGAGACATGGATATTAAATAAGAAGGAAGAGGATACTCTGGAAAGATGGGAAAGGAAAATACTGAGACGCATATTCGAAGGACGGAAGACAGATGATGGTTGGGAGAGAAGAACCAACAATGAATTAATGGCTTTATACAAAGAACCTACCATTACCAAGTTCGTCAAGTCACAAAGAATCAGATGGTTGGGACATGTGGAAAGAATGGAAGCAAACAGAATGCCCAAACTAGTAATAACCAGAAAACTAATCAGCTCCAAAAGAAGAGGTAGACCCAGAACGAGGTGGATTAGTAAGTGGAGGAAGACCTTAAACACGTGAAGGTGAGGTACTGTAAAAGAAAAGCACAAAATAGAAGCGAATGGAGAAATATTGTCCACCAGGTCCTTCAGAGTAGTTAAGAATGTTGTATATACATATTGTTGTATATATAATATTTAAGTTAGAGTTTTGTTTAAAATAATTGTATTTAGTAAATATTAGGATTATATTTAAACCAAATGCCCTAGGCCTTAACGACCTGTTGTGCGTAAAAAAATAAAAACAATATTTTTTGAGTAAATTTAGTAGTTAAAAACAGTGCGTCACATTCATCTGGGTACAATCGCGTCTACATTTAATTTTTATTTCTTGAAATGCAAAAACGTGCATTTTTTATACCGAACAATAAAGTACGATTTTACGCTCCTTTAGGCTGACAAATATTAAATGAAACTATAAATCACGAGTCGTAAGTGGACAAAAGTAGTCGAAATCAAATGTCTATCATGCATTTTCGGAAATTTTGAATTCGATTATTGGCGGCATGAAAGAAAACGTCTTTCTTTACTGGTCACTTTACATTAAAACAATAGAATATTATATTTTTGGTAATAATAATAAAAATAATACATCAGATCCAGTTAATAAAATACGGACTCTATTAAAATCTTACTCGATTACTCGATTTGTTTCACAATGTTTAAATTAAGCACAGTAAAACTATAAAAGGTTAAGAAGTTACGAAAAATGTGAGATTACAAATTAAGGGATTAATTTGTGATTATGCATATTGGCCACTATATAAAAGAAACATACGATCAATAGAAAGTATTTAAACACATGTATAATATAAAATAATAATAATACAATAATAATCATAACACTAATTCACTCGGTTTTTGAATTACTATCTCACCCGAACAGTGCTAACTATAACTTGAATATTTAGAATTTATGATTGAGCTCTATATAGATAATTTTTTCTAATTCAAATCTAAGCTCAATAATTAAAACTGATGTATGAGAGGCTTTCTCTAAAGTTTTACTTAAAGTTGGTTGTGATACCATATGTCTTAGAGGCTCTGGATAAGTTTGGATGCAAGAACCTTGATGTCTTTGTTTTCTGGCTGTCTTGGAGTTTCGACTATATCTGAATACCTTCCACATAATGACAATCAACATAACAATGAATATAGTGACTAGTTCCGTGGTTAAATGAGGAATTCACTTATGGTTAGCAATGGTTTTCCACGTGTGTTCGGATATACCTTGGTCAAACTGTTCTGCCTAATTTTTGGCAACTCATCTCCCCGAATATCCATATTATGTCTGGGAATGTTGTTCTGCTTTATGATTAGCCTCTGCATAAGCTCTTCAATGGAAATAGCGAGAGTCTTTAAATATCTTCGAATTGATGTTGCCTGGATATGAGTAATGTTATGTTTTGGGTCTGAGCAACGCATTTTGGTGACAGCTTTAGACAGAGATTCTTCTAATTTTTGTCCAAGGAATCTATACCCTGTATATTTTATCATTTACCCCAAATACTGATGTGAGGACTGTTCCTAGAAGACTCTTCTTTGGTCTTCTCTTAACTTCCAGATCTAATGGTCGACTAATCATTTTTGCTCGTTCTTGTTCCTCTTTTAGCTGGCTCGATAGTGAATCACAATTATTTAATAGTTGGTTGACTTTAAGATGTTCTCTGACTGCCTTATTTCTAATCCTGTCTAACCTGGTTATACCCATTATTCTTCTAAGAAACTTCATTTCTATGCTCTGTATTTTCGATTTTAATTTATCGGTAAGCGTCTAACTTTCACTTCCAAAAGTTAAAATCGGCACAAACACCGTCTTGTATATAGTCACTTCGGCTTTTTAAAATACTTCTTTTTTTGACAGAAACGTACTTTTAATTGCGTGGTACGTCCGAGCAGCACTTTCTATTTTGGAACTTATTTCAGTTTCTTCAGTTCCTCTGTTCTCTATTTGTACTCCTAAGTATTTGTAAGTATCGACTTGTTCAAGTTTATTTCCGTCCAAGTGTTATCTTCAATTGTTTTCTATTTTTTCCACACACCATTACTTTCGTCTTCTCATTATTAATCCTTAAATTTCGATTAATTAGTGCAGCGTTCCATATCCAAATATCCAAATATCACTAGATCATCTGCGTATGCACACTTTGAGATCCACACTGCATCTAGATTTCTATGTCCGGCATATAATTTTAATGTTTCTGCTCTAGTTTCTTTAATTATGTCATCCAAGAAAATGTTAAACAGTATGGGGCCTAGGACTCCTCCTTGATGTAGACCCTCATTTACTACGAACTCTTTGGATTCCATATTATCGGTTCTGATTATGTTTTTTGTATGTTTATATATACTCATAATGGCTTGCACACCAAGCTTAATTTTCATATTTACACCTTTCTTTTTTAAACATAATTATGTCAATCACCTTCCTTGGAGTACTATCAAATACCTTTTCTAAGTCCATAAAGGCTTGGTATAACTCAGTGCTTGAGTTCCGTGCATGCCGTTTGTACTTTTGTGTGTTACTATCATGAAACTACATGATAGTAAAAATGTGATCTTGGATACTTCTGCCATTTCTAAATCCACTCTGTGATTGTTCCATTTTAGACTCGACTTCTTGTAAAAGACGTGTTTCTAGTATTCTCTCATATACTTTGGATGGGATGCTCAGTAGTGTTATTCCTCTGTTAGTTAATACATTCTGGACATCATACAAATAAAATTCTCTACTTGCGGCTCCGTAAGTAGTTTTTTAATAACTCTTCTGTAAATAAAAATGTAAATGTAATAATTAGACTTCGGCAAATATGCATATTGCATATTTGGATATTGTGCATATTTTATGCAAATATTTCATATTTTGGCATATTTGTATAAAAGTTTGCATAAAGTGCATAAAAGTTCAGATTTTTATACTGTATTTGAAAATTTTTAAACATACCAATTTATTTTAATTCTTGTATAAAATTTTTGTAGTCATTTTAATTAAGAAATGATCTAAGTACGTAATCTCTACAGGTACAAAACATTTACAATTTCAAAGAAGATCAATTTAAGTAGCCCTCAACATTCTTAGAAAGTCTCGGTCACTGAGGCATTTAGTTATTGGATAATCGCTAAGGGTTCGCTCATTTGCATTTTATGATCTAATCCTCAAATCTATCTACAATTTATTGTATCTTAACAGCAGGTAAACGGCTAATAGTTTTGTTCCTAATTTAGGGATTTTCCAAAATCTCCCAGTTTATTGAATTAGGTACCTAAACATTTCTAATTTGATGCTCAGATTTGTAAATCATTTTTGTTCATTCAATCATTCAAAGCGTAAACACTCGTTGTGCGTAACAAAAAGGAAGATTGTGATTTTATAATGCCTAAAACAACCAGTGCTTCAACTTGGATTAAACCTTGTAAAAAGCTGTCTATGGATATGGGAAAAATCTACTGTTCAGTCTGTGGCAAAATTGTAAGTATCTAATATTTTCTATTAAATATCTAATATTTCATACATACAGGGTGTTTCCAAATGACACTTACAACGTCTGACTGTAGATACTTATCGAAAAATTAAACAAAACTATATAGTTAATGAGGGATCAAACTTATTTACTTTTCGAGATACAGGGTGTTAAAATTAAAAAAAATTAAATTCTTTTAGTTAATAACAACAATAACTTTAAAACCAATAAACGTATTTACTTGAAATTTAGTACTCGTAGGTTGTTTTTAAATGAAAAATAGCTTCCTTTAGTGAGAAAAAATTATCCATGGTACAATACAATGGTGTGTATTTAGAAAAATTTTTCACCTTTACTTTTTTTATGAAGTCAGCTGTTCTAAAACACAATTATTTTTATTGTAATTGAATTAACAAACAAAAAACTTTTGTTGAATTTTAAAATAAGTTATATGATGAACTAATGGTTAGTAACAAAAACTTATTTGTGAATTAATACTGCATTTAAAACTCTTAGCGAGTGTTTTTTTTTCCAAACCAGTTATTTGATTAACCAAAAACACCTTGTATATTTTTATATTTTAAAGGTTGGGTTAAAATAAAGGTTTTTATTTTTATTTATAGATAGCATGGGAGAAGAAATTTCAGATAGACCAACATGTGAGAACTGCTTCACATATTGCAAAAAAAGGAAAAATAGGAGGAGAACATCAAACTTCAATGGCTAAATGTTTCCAATCCAATCTACTTTAAAAAAATTAGATGAGCAAAAAACTTTTAATGAAGACTTGTGTCGCGCATTAGTATCTGCAAACATACCGCTTTCAAAATTAGCAAATGTAAATTTTAGTTCGTTTCTAAAAAATATTGCAAACATAATGTTCCAAGTGATCGGTTTCTAAGAAGAAATAATGTGAACGGGCTATACTCGTCGGTGTTAATTAATATTAAGGAAGAAATTGCAGATAATTATTTTTACACATCTGTAGACGAAACCACTGATTCATCAGGAAAGTATATTGCTCATTTATTGATTGGTGTTCTTAAAGAAGATACCTTACCAAAATCTCATCTTATTTCATGCCAGCAACTTGAGAAAACAAATGCTTTAACTTTTTTTCTTCCGACAACTATTCCTTCTAATAAATTACTGCTTACTTTATCGGATGCTGCTCCTTATATGGTGAAAGAAGGACAAAATTTAAAAATATTTTTCCCACATTTAATACATGTTACTTGTGTAGCGCATTAATTAAACAGAGTTGCAGAGGAAATACGAAAAAAGTTTCTTCTTGTAAATACCATGATATCCAGTGTCAAAAAAGTATTTCTTAAATCTCCTATAAGAATTCAACTTTATAAAGAAATGCTACCTAACATTCTTCTTCCACCACAACCTATTTTAACGCGATGGGGAACATGGTTAGAAGCAGCTAATTTTTATGCAGATCATTTTGTTAAAATAAAGAACATAATTGATACGTTAACAGATGAAAGTTCCCAATCTCTTTTGGATTCTAAACAAACTTTTCAGAGTAACTTGCTTCAACAAGAACTTTCATTTATAAAATCAAATTTTAGTTTTGTTCAAAAAACAATTACTCAGTTAGAATCACCAAAACTGTCATTGTTCAAAAGTATAGCATAAAAGAATTTGCGTCATGTTGTCAGAACGTTAGAGGTAATATTGGAAAAGATATTTTAAAAAAATTTGAAGCTACTATGAAAAAAAATAAAGGTTACCATATTCTTTCTGAAGTAGTCAGTGTTCTAGCTGGAAATATTTCGGAAACAATTAATTTAAAACCAAATGTTTTGGTTAGTTTGAAAAATGCTCCCGTTACATCAGTTGATGTTGTACGAAGTTTTTCCATATATAAATATATGTACTCAGACAGAAGCCACAAGTTTTTGTTAGAAAATTTTGAACACCACTTGGTCATTTATTGTTACCATAATTCTAAATAAGTTTATTCGTACTTAAAAATGATGTAGTTACTTAAAATAAATGTAAATCTTAATGAATAGTAGGAAATATTTAGTTATGTACACTTTTGTTTTAAATAAAATTGTTACTATTTTACGATTTTTTTATTTATTTGTATGCATATTTTGTAAAATATTTGCATATTTTCGGGTAAACACGTGCATATTTATGCGCATATTTTCTACATTTTTATTTGCATATTTGCCGAAGTCTAGTAAAAATGCTTTTTAAACATCTAAAGCGATGATTGATATTAAAAAACATTTTAAAAAAATTATCCGGTATAAACCAAATCCGGAATACATATTTAACAGTGAAATCTAAATCCTCAGGTTTTCATCAATCTGTATAATCCGCTTTCCAAAGCAAAATCTTTTGCTTCCACTTCGTGGCCATTATAACGCGGCGCTGTCGGCGATAAAGATGAATATCGGTGATTTATTTGCTCCTTTTCGGGTATTTTTCACACGCGTGTGTGCTCGTCAGAATGAATAAAAAATTATGTCGACTCAAGACAGGATATATTATGGAATTATATATAAAGAAGATTAGCAGCCTCTTACGAATTGGACTGGACAGAGCTAAAACAAAACAGAAGCGTACTCGAAAAAGAATAAAAGAAACTTTGGCTTTTATGTATCGAATATATTAAACTTTTATATTAGGTCTGAAAATTATTGATAACATTACTCTTATGACACGGCTGATAACACAGGTCTACGCCAAAAGTTGTTTAAAATTTAATTAGGGATTTTCATAACGATTTTAACCATGATTTCGGGAAAATAGTGAAAGAATTCCATCAGGAGAAATCAGCAGTATTTTCATATTAGCACT